ATATATATATATATATATATATATATATATATATATATATATATATACAAGTGATAGGTAAACGATCAGCAGATCTCAGTGATCAGGAGGGTAACTACAGGGGTAAGACAGTCAGTGCCATGAGAATGCTTCAGAGAGTGAACGAGTGTGTGATAACGAGTTTGCAGAGATTTGACAGAGAAAACAATGGACGACGATATTAACGAGATTCAGACTTCCCTCTCTGCCTCCAGCTTTTCTCAACCATTACATTTACATGGTCTGCTTCCATCCACAGCGGCTTACAACAACAACAACAACACCAACAACAACAACACCACCACCGCCAACAACAACAACACAAACAACAACAACAACACCGCCACCACCACCACCACCAACAACAACAACACCGCCAACAACAACACCACCACCAACAACAACAACACCGCCAACAACAACAACAACAACAACAAGACCAACACCACCACCAACAACAACAACAACAACACCAACAACAACAACAACACCAACAACACCAACAACAACAACGCCACCACCACCACCATCACCAACAAGAACAACAACAACACCAACACCACCACCAACAAGACCAACATCGCCACCCCAACAACAACAACACCAACAACAAAAACAACAAGAAGAATAACAACAACACCAACACCTACAACAACAATAACAACAACAACAATAACAACAGCAACAACAATAAAACCAACAACAAGAATAACACCAACAACAACAACACCATCACCTACAACAACAATAACTACAACAACAATAACAACAACAACACCAATACCACCACCACCACTACCAACAACAACAATCTGTTTGAAGAGTTTCAGTCAGGGTTTAGAGCTCATCATAGCACAGAAACAGCACTAGTAAAAGTCACTAATGATATTCTCATGGCCTCAGACAATGGACTTGTGTCTCTACTGGTCCTGTTAGACCTCAGTGCTGCATTTGATACAGTTCATCACAATATTTTACTACAGAAACTTGAATATGATGTTGGGATTACAGGAACAGATCTAAAGTGGTTTAAATCATATCTATCTGATAGATTCCAATTTGTAAATGTGAATAATAAATCTTATTCATACACCAAAGTTAGTCATGGAGTTCCTCAGGGCTCAGTGCTTGGGCCAATACTCTTTACTTTATATTTGCTTCCATTAGGTAAAGTTATTAAACAGCATAGGATAATTATTCATTGTTATGCTGATGACACACAATTATATTTGTCCATTAAACCCAATGAATCCAATCAGCTACTTAGACTACAAGCATGTCTTAAAGACATAAAAACCTGGATGACCCTTAATTTTCTCCTGTTGAACAGACAAGACTGAGGTTTTGGTTTTGGGACCTGAGCACCTTAGGAATGAATGTTTCAGTCTTTCTCCCTCCTTAGATGCATTAATCTGTCCTCCAGCTATAATGTTAAAAATCTTGGTGTTATTTTTGATCAGGACATGTCTTTTATCCCCCACATTAAAAACGTTACTAGAACCTCCTTCTTCCACCTGCGTAATATCACTAACATTAGAAACATCTGATCTAAAGATGATGCAGAAGAACTGGTCCATGCATTTGTCACGTCTAGACTGGACTATTGCAATGGTTTATTATCTGGGTGTCCAAATACTTCTTTAAAACATCTTCAGTTGATCCAAAATGCTGCTGCCAGAGTCTTAACTGGAGTTACTGGGAGAGATCATATCACTCCAGTTTTAGCTTCTCTCCACTGGCTCCCTGTCAAATCCAGAAAATAATTCAAAATCTTACTTCTATCAATCAACCTTTATTTATACAGGTAAATCCCATTGAGCCTCGAGGACTCATTTACAAGAGAGACCTGATTTCAACAAAAAAAGATGACAACAATGGACAACAGCAACAACAATAAGCAGTTATAAAAACTCATACTACAGTTTTTTTTTTCTAACCTACAAAGCTCTCAACAACCTAGCTCCATCTTATATTACAGATCTTATTGTTCCATATTTTCCTAACAGAGCACTTCGCTCTCAGACTGCAGGTTTACTTGTGGTTCCTAGAGTTTCCAGAAGCAGAATGGGAGGAAGATCTTTCAGTTCTCAGGCTCCTCTCTTGTGGAATCAACTTCCAGTTTCTGTCCATGAGGCTGACACATTATCCAGTTTTAAAACTAGGATTAAGACTTTCCTTTTTGCTTAATCCTTTAGTTAGGGCCGGCTTGGGTTTCCTGAGCTGTCCCTTAGTTCTGCTGCTATAGGCTTAGACTGCTGGAGGACAAACTTACCACACTTTTCACTCTGCTACCGTCTTTACTTACTCTGCTCAACCTGTTTTGTATTTGTAATTATTTTTTCTATCCTTAACGTGTTTGTCTTTCAGATACACCTGGACCTATACCTGGACCTGCACCTAGACCTGGACCTATATCTGGACCTGGACCTATACCTGAACCTATATCTGAACCTGGACCTATATCTGGACCTGGACCTATAGCTGGACCTGGACCTATATCTGGACCTGGACCTATATCTGGACCTGGACCTGGACCTATACCTGGACCTATACCTGGACCTACCATTCTGTGTTCGTCTGTCTCTCCTTCCTGTCCTCTCAACCAGCCGGTCAAAGCAGATGGTCTCTTGTCCTGAGCTGGTTCTGCTGGAGGTTTCTTCCTGTTAAAGGGAGTTTTTCTTCCCACTGTCTCCACTGTGCTTGCTCAGGATGGGAGACTGCAACGAAGCCAAGATTCAACTTGTCTGCTGGATTCCTTAGATAGAGAACTTTACTAATTAGCTTTTATGTGAATGTTCCTGTAAAGTGCCTGAGACAACTTTGTTGTGATTTGACGCTTTATAAATAAACTGAATTGAATTGAATTGAATTGAATTGAACAACAACAATCATTTGCTCAAAGGACATAATACAAACCACCCAAAAATGTAAATTATGGAACATGTCCAGCTTTTTCAGCAGGATAATATATTTTCTTTTGATCTTAACACTGATGTCCCTCTTTATCTTTATTTTACAACATTCGTTCTTCTTTCTTGTTCCATGTTATGTTTTGTCCTCCTTTATGGAGTAAGGTCTGCATAAGGAATATTTACTTCTCTCTGTCTACAGAATTGGCAGTACAACCTACAAACCTGCATGCAGTGAACACGTGCACATGTGCATGAAGGTTGTGAGGATTGTGAGGACCTTACTACTCTGTTTTTATCTCCATAAAGACCAGATCACTATGCAGACTGTTCTCTGCTCCTCCTGACCTAAACTCATCCAGAACAGCTCAGTCACACATTTGACGACAGATGAGGTTCTCATTGACCTCACCTGGTCTGGTCTCGTTACAAATCACTCAGAACTCTTAGAAAATTCACGTTGAAACAGAAATCTACAGGAAAATGAAGAAGAAAATATTAAACAATGCTTATAAGTCCATATATATATATATATATATATATATATATATATA